CCCCCCCCCCCCCTCCCGCTATTCTGGAGCTTGAGCTTGAACCCATCAAACTTTGTATCGAATTGGTAATTACATTTCAGATATATGAAGAATTGTAAAGAATTTAAGATATAATTCTAAAATTTAAGATTTCAGCCAACTCAGAGGGAGTTAATCTTCTTCATATTGATAAAGACTGAAGTTGTTTCTAAATTCTGTATCTTTGCAACTTGATAAAGTAAACCTTTGATATTTCAAACTTAGACCATTTGATCAAAGAGAATTCTTATAGTTTCAAATATATCGAAGGTTTATTACAACAACATTGGGTTGCAAAGAAATGGAGATATAAAAACAAGAGTTTGTTGCAAGAACTCATTTCCTGTTCTATTTTATTTTGTGTACTGATTATGATGTGAAAAAACAAGAGTTGAATATAGACTTAGATTTAAACAATTTTGTGAATGAAGAAAAACACAAAGATGTAAACTTGCAGCCGACATTTCTTGTACATTTAAATACAAAAAGTTTAGATGTTTATATATTTTCATAAAACTTTTAAATTGAAAATTGCTTTTCAATTTCCTTCAATTGAATCCTAACTCTAGCCCTNACATATCCTTTCAATTCAAATATAAATATAGACGTATCGACTGAGATTACTTAAAGCAGTGCAGATGATGATTTAGATATATTTATTGAGATGAAATTTTCTTTTTTTACCATATTTAAAAAAAAATCATGATATGTAGCATAAAATTCATAAAATACGTCATCACATCAAATCAAAGTAAGCTTCACGGAAGATTCAAATCTTATTTTTTTCATTTTTTTCTGCCTTTTCAATGATATGTTCACTTTTAAATTAATAAAGTACTTCACACGTTAAAATTAAGTAAAGGAATTGAGTCTTTGCCACATACTCAAATTTCTTATTCCCTGTATTTCTAACAGAATTTATAGTTCGAAATATCTAAGGTCGACGACTTTGAGTTGCAAAGAAATAGGAATTATACAATCAGAATTTGAGGCAAAGACTTAATTTAAATTAAAATCTGTTATGTTTTCAATCATGACCCCTTTTAGTCTTATTGAATATTTTGTAATAATATCTTTTGAATATCTAATTCTAATTAAACAAAGGAATTGAGTTTTTGCCACAAACTCTAATTTTTTAATCCCTATAGCTCTGCAGCCCGATGTCGTAGACCTTTCATATTTCAAAATATATATTCTGTATAATATCAAATAGTCTAATTTTGAAATATTAAAGATTACACATTATATTTGCAAAGATATAGTTATTAGATAATTTGGGTTTGTGTCAAAACTCAATTCATTTGTTTTTCTCATCCTAGTACAGAAAATGAAATAATATTATCTTAAACATAAAGCGCTGAAAATCTAATAATATCTTATATAATATCTTAATATATATTATCTTATTAACTTATTATCTCATAAAGCGCATGAAAATCTAATAATAGCTTATATAATATCATCACTCTGTTTTAGAAACTAGAATTGACTATTGAGCCGAAATTAAAGGGAACAAATCTTGTGATTAAAATATTCTAAAAAACAAGGTGGAAAGTAAAAAAATTAAAAAAAAAAAATTACTATCTGCATTAAATAGAAAGATCAATTTGTGGTTCATGGTGATTTAGAAAAAATAGTAAAATAAAAATTCTCAAATCACCCCTGAACCCCTGGAAATAACCTGAAGGAAGTTCTAACACAATTTCTTGATTTTCAGAATAATAATTAATAAGTTTTCAAGAAAAAGTAAAATGGTTCAATAAAACAAAAGTCTGGGGAGGTTAAATTTTTATCTTAATTTTATTTAATCTCCTTATAGTTGAAAAGAAAATTTGGGGAGGGTTAATTTTACTCCTGCCCCCCCCACCCCCTCTGGGGAGGGTTAATATTCACCCCGCCCTTCCCTCCTCCCTTTTTAAAGAAAAGTTTTATTCATTAAGAATTCCGAAATGCCGAATTTAAAGAATTTTTATCCGCGGCTTAAATTTGAGACTCGGCTTAAATATGGTTGGTTCCACCTAAAATTGTTTATTTTGAAAATTTTTTCGAAAGAGGGGGCACGCCCCCCACCAGACCTTTACAAAATAATACTCCCCCCCCCCCTATTAAAAGTGCCAGTTGCGCCTCTGCATCGGTTTTAGAACTCAACATATCTTCAAACTTATAAATATTGCATTTTTGAGAAATATTTCGCAACAAAAATCTACAAAAAACTCGAAAGGTTTAGTAATCTAGCAAACATTGACTTTTAGAAAATTTATTTGTAAATACATCTTATATGACTCCCAATCCTACACTTGAGACTCTTATTTGAAAACAAATGACTTTAGAAAGAAACCATTTACAAGGAAAGTTTCTTGTAAAAAATCTTCAAAACTTAGAAATCTTTTTTTTAGCATCAAGTAAATATTTTTTTGGAGAGAGTGGTAAACTTTATTTTTCCTTAATTTGAATTAAAATAATAGTCAGATTTTTTGAAAGATTTTACTTAATATCAATATTAACTATTTAAAATATGTAAATTAGAATATTCTTTCCATGATATGATTGTATTTTTAAATTTTGTAAGTTTGATATATTTTATCATAAAAGTTTAAAGTGAAAGCAATCATGCAAAATGATCCCGTTGAACATAATTGAAAATAGTTTTCAAAAAAGAACTTGAACAATTACAGAGACTGTTTACCTTGTAAAGTGAAGGGGATAAAATTAAGATGAAATGACACGGGCAGCCATAGTACATTTGAATTTCCGAGCCGGGTCTTCCAGTCCCAGTTTGTACTGTACCTAGCTCTATGGACAGGACTAGCCGGTGCAACAAGTTAGACGTGGTCAGACTTTATGCTTCATGAAGGTTTAATTTATTTTTACTGAAGAGGCAGAGGTGCTTGATGAGGAAAAAATAAATATTTTATGTATATTTGGGTAAACTATGAAAAACTAAAATCAAATTATTTTGAGCCAGTACTTAAAAGATGTATTTTCTAGCGACCATCCATAAAAAAGGGGCATATTCGATTTTTAACGTTCCCCTTTAAGCTTCTATCTAAGTAACAATGAGGTAAATGTCCTTAACAGTTGAAGCGCCCTGCATGCATGTCTACAGGGTTAACCACAAAGAATGAGACTTTAGAGACGACTATAAACCTTAACTACACCTTTTCAGACCATAATTTGGACTTAAAGTTAAAATTCAAAATTTAAAGTTTTAGGTCGTCATTAAAGTTTCATCTTTTGTGGGTAACCCTGTAGCTCAACTGAACTCTGTATCTCTATCAAGTATATATTGTTATTGTATAGATGTATAAAGGATAAAGCCGGGTTTAGCTGAGAGATTATAGAACTTTTTAATATTTCGATAAATCTTTAAATCTATCGGAGGACCATAAAAATATACCTTCAGATTAGAATCATTTGTAAAGAAGGCTAAAATATCACAAATTTTTAAAAATAATGTTGATATACTCTTTTAAAGGGAGTGTTTGCGAAAAATGAAAGGGGGTATAGGCTTAATACGATAAAAAAGCGCTTTTGATCGTCAATAATCTTACTTCTATCTGTTGCGTCTATAAGGAGAAAATTGTTAAAAACGACTAATACCGAAGAACGTAGTGTCCATACAAATTCAGAAAGATGCAACATACGACTTAGACCGTAAAAAAATCAATTTAATTTCAAACAAATTATTCAGATATTACAACCTCTGGTCATCGATTATCTTTCGCCACATTTGTATATAGTTGATTTTTCATAATATGTTTTGATTTTATTTTTTAAAATAATATTTAGCTTGCAACTTGTTTTCGAACATACCTGGAAAATATAAAAATGTCGTCTTCATTACCAAAAATCCTCGAAACAGGAATAAATGTTTTTATAAGTAACTCTCAGATCATAACAATTAAAGTACTTTTAAAGTACTTTAGGCATTTAGGCCGCCTCGCTCCCATTTTCTATTTAAACTTTGAATTGTGGCTCTATCTGTGAGGATCTTCTCTTTGTACAATATAAAACAATAACAAACAAAAAAGTTCGCAAATTTACTAATACTATTTTGTGCATTATTAAATTTTTGCTCGATCGGTTCAGCCGTTTTGACGTAAAAACAGACTGACAGACAGACAAGCACAGTATATATATAGATTAAAAATTCCCTAACAAAATAAGCTAAACAAGAAGGTACGTGTCACGTTGGTAAGGGTTGTGTTTATACCTAACTGTGACGTATTAGGACTAAAGATTAGGACTGATCAGGGATTTATTAACAAAACAAAAATTTCCTGGGGAAATAGAACCATGCTTGTGCAATCACTGTTTATTAAATATTGTCTATCTTACAATCAAACAAGTCCCAAAGTTGTTAGGACCAGGCTTGTGCAATCACTGTTTATTAAATATTGTCTATCTTACAATCAAACAATTCCCAAAGTTGTTAGGACCAGGCTTGTGCAATCACTGTTTATTAAATATTGTCTATCTTACAATAAAACAAGTCCCATAGTTGTTCTAAAATGTCACAAGTGATATAAAGAAACCTCATTACCTTAGATATTTTCCTTAAAAGGAAATAAAATATATCTGATGTGTCCAGATAAATGACATGTACACATGTACTGCGCTGTACAGGGTCATGTACCTGGAGGAGTGTACACGGATCTACAAACAGCTGGAATCATTGGTGATCTATATTTCAGGTAACACAAGGGGGGAAAAAAGCTGTTACCCCCCCCCAGATTTAATCCTAATTACGCCCCTTAAAAGTAGAACTAATAAATTCAAATTTTAATTTTGTTCCATGGTCCCTAATTTATTTTTGCGAACACTCCCTTTAACATATTTTTTCTAGATTTAACTCGGTCGAGTACAGTTGGATTGGAGAAACAGACTGGATTTACAGGTATATTGTTTACTGAGTTGAAAGGAAACAGCCGACGTCAAAATCAATGAAATTTTTGCCAATTACGTCAAAAAAGGAAGTGCATGAATGCTTTAAAAGGCTACAAAAATATAAAAGTGAGTCAACCCTGTCATGAAAATTGATAGAACTTTTCTTAGCTGTCTGTTTATTTGTTAACAGAGAGAATTTAAAATCCTAAAGAATTATACTTTTCCTACCGTTTTTAAGCCTTTATTGATTTAATTTTATTAAATAGCGTAATATATAAGTAAGGGACACACATCAATGTTGTTAGTGTATTCGGCAATACCCGGGTAGTGGTGATCTTGTTTAGCGTTGATCTTGTTTAGTGCTGATCTTATTTAGTGCTGATCTTGTTTAGTACTGATCTTGTTTAGTGCTGATCTTGTTTAGTACTGATCTTGTTTCGTGCTAATCTTGTTTAGTACTGATCTTGTTTAGCGTTGATCTTGTTTAGTGCTGATCTTATTTAGTGCTGATCTTGTTTAGTACTGATCTTGTTTAGTGCTGATCTTGTTTAGTACTGATCTTGTTTCGTGCTAATCTTGTTTAGTACTGATCTTGTTTAGTGTTGATCCTGCTTAGTGCTGATCTTGTTTAGTGCTGATCTTGTATAGTGCCGATTTTGTTAAGTGCTAATCTTGTTTAGTAATGATCTTGTTTACTGCCGATCTTGATTAGTACTGATCTTGTTTAGTGTTGATCTTGTTTAGTACTGATCTTGTTTAGTTCTGATCTTGTTTAGTTCTGATCTTGTATAGTGTTGATCTTGTTCAGTTCTGATCTTGTATAGCGTTGATCTTGTTTAGTTCTGATCTTGTGTAGTACTGATCTTGTATAGTGTTGATCTTGTTCAGTTCTGATCTTGTATAGCGTTGATCTTGTTTAGTTCTGATCTTGTGTAGTACTGATCTTGTATAGTGTTGATCTTGTTCAGTTATGATCTTGTATATCGTTGATCTTGTTTAGTTCTGATCTTGTGTAGTACTGATCTTGTTTAGTACTGTTCTTGTTTAGTACTGATCTTGTTTAGTACTGATCTTGTTTAGTTCTGATCTTGTTTAGATCTGATCTTGTATAGTGTTGATCTTGTTCAGTTCTGATCTTGTATAGCGTTGATCTTGTTTAGTTCTGATCTTGTGTAGTACTGATCTTGTTTAGTACTGTTCTTGTTTAGTACTGATCTTGTTTAGTACTGATCTTGTTTAGTACTGATCTTGTTTAGTACTGATCTTGTTTAGTGCTGATCTTGTTTAGTGCTGATCTTGTTTAGTTCTGATCTTGTTTAGTACTGATCTTGTTTAGTACTGATCTTGTTTAGTACTGATCTTGTTTGGTACTGATCTTGTTTAGTGCTGAGTTTGTTTAGTACTGATCTTGTTTAGTACTGATCTTGTTTAGTGCGGATCTTGTTTATTGCCGATCTTGTTTAGTACTGATCTTGTTTAGTGCTGAGTTTGTTTAGTACTGATCTTGTTTAGTGCTGATCTTGTTTAGTGCTGATCTTGTTTATTGCCGATCTTGTTTAGTGCTGATCTTGTTTAGTGCTGATCTTGTTTGGTACTGATCTTGTTTAGTGCTGATCTTGTTTAGTGCCGATCTTGTTTAGTGCTGATCTTGTTTAGTACTGATCTTGTTTAGGACTGATCTTGTTTAGTACTGATCTTGTTTAGTACTGATCTTGTTTAGTACTGATCTTGTTTAGTGCTGATCTTGTTTAGTGCCGATCTTGTATAGCGTTGATCTTGTTTAGTGCTGATCTTGTTTAGTACTGATCTTGTTTTGATCTTGTTTAGTACTGATCTTGTTTAGTGCTGATCTTGTTTAGTGCCGATCTTGTTTAGTGCTGATCTTGTTTAGTGCCGATCTTGTAGTTGATGACGGGATAATATCGAAGGAATCAATTGAACTAGAATGTCAGGTACAAATTATAGAGTCTCAACCATTCTACATACTCATACTACATGCGGAATATCAAGTGGCAATGCCCGATTTACAACGGTACCCTTGAAATCTTTATCGGATCAGTAATATTTGAAGAAACAAAAATGTTGATATCTAATTGAAACTTGATCAGGCAAAGCTTTTAAGAGTACCGCGGTGAATCGGGTATTGCCATCTTTGCATGGAGGGTTATTTTAAATATGCTTACAGTCCCTTTAATATTTAAGGTTTAGATACAGTCTCCAGTATCAGGTTTAATATTCTAGGTTTTGATACAGTCTCCAGTATCAGGTTTAATATTCAAGGTTTAGATACAATCTCCAGTATCAGATTTAATATTTAAGGTTTAGATACAGTCTCCAGTATCAGGTTTAATAGTTAAAGTTTAGATGCAATCTCCAGTATCAGGTTTAATACTCAAGGTTTAAATACAGTCTCCAGTATCAGGTTTAATATTCAAGGTTTAGATACAATCTCCAGTATCAGGTTTAATATTCAAGGTTTAGATACAATTTCTCCAGTATCAGGTTTAATATTCAGGGTTTAGATACAGTCTCCAGTATCAGGTTTATTATTCAGGGTTTGGATACAGTCTCCAGTATCTGGTTGAACAATGAGAGGGTTGGAACCAGCAATAATATGTTTGTGCGCTACATCTACCCTATAAAGGAGCTCCTGAAGCCTGGTAATCTTTTTTCCTTTTTTTCGTCTTTAACTTCTTTTTTGTTCCTCAAATTCATCTTTCTAAAATGCTTTCATATTTTATTTTTCACTGTTTTTACAAACTTTTAGAGCAAAATCATTTGTTATTTAAACTGAACCTTTGCTGATTATTAAACTATTTACTATCTTACAACTGTTTCTTTCACTCCCATATCTCAAACATTTGTTATTTAAACTGAACCTCTGCTGATTATTAAACTATTTACTATCTTACAACTGTTTCTTTCAGTCCCATATATCTCAAACAGCCATTTCAAAATATTTTAGTTTTCATTTTGTAAAATTTTAGAATCTTGGATCGTTTTATAAGTTTCCAAATAGTAACTGTAGTTAATGTAGAGTGTGTAAAGTTTGTATAATAATATGATGCTGACCCTGGAGAAAACTCTAAACTTGAACCTCTAACCTACAAAACTTCTATCCAAATCCCCAGATATTAAAATAGGATTGTGTAATAACCAGAGGAAAGGAAAATGCCGTCAATATGTGAACAAAGTTAATGGGAGTGTTAAGGAAACTTAGAGTGATTCTTTGTCATATTTTTAATAAAGTCACATAGCTTTATAATTTTTACTTTCTCCAAAAGCTGCTGATTTTTTCGAAAGCAAAAATATCTCGATGCTGGTTTCTGCGACCAAAGAAGTTAAAAGGCAATGTGTACAATTTTAAAACAGTAGATTTATAAAGTGGTACACTCTATTCACAACGGTAACCGCCTGGAGTTTAGGTTTAAGTCTGGTGTAGTTTATGCTCAGGAAGAATATGTTTAGGTTTGAACCGCCTGGAGTTTAGGTTTAAGTCTGTTGTAGCGTATGTTCAGGAAGAATATGTTTAGGTTTGAACCGCCTGGAGTTTAGGTTTAAGTCTGGTGTAGTGTATGCTCAGGAAGAATATGACCGACAAGCGAAGGAGTATATTGTTCCACCTTCATGTGTTCCTAAACAATACCAGGTACAAACAGATTTTTCAGATTGGTTGCGGATTTGCTGAATATGATCTGTTTAAACCTACAAAATTGTATATATATATATATATATATATATGAATTTTCGTATAAATTGGACACATTTTTATATCAATTTCTCGAGACAGGAACATCAGATATAACTTTCATGGGTCGCGATCAAGAGCTAAAGTTATTAGCTTTCAGCCTAAATTTCTTCAATTTTTTCCTTTACAGTCCCTAAAGTATACAGAGTGAGTCAAAAAAAAGTGTGATTTACGGCGCCTGGTACAACTCTGTGCAACTCTTCTGTATGGAGTTTTTTCAATATTTTTTGAAAATTTTTAATTATTTTTGGTACTCTAATGGTCCAAAGCAAAAATCCGCGAACTCTGTTTTTCTCTCAAAAGCAAAAGTTTAGAAAAGTAAAAATGTGTATATTAACTATTTCTGTCGAAATCTAAAATTTTATAAAGATTGAATCACAGAATCACAGAAAATTGGCAAAATTGTAACAAAGAAAATTCGCAATTTTCAGTTTTGGTCTAATTTTTAAGAAAAAGTTATTTGAATTCTCTAGTTCCTTTCTTCTTAGTATATTCAAAAGTTAAAAAATATACGCTGTTCAGTTGAAACTTGAAGAACAATTGAAAAACAACTTTTCCTTTAAATTAGAACAGGAATGAAAATTGCGAATTTTCTTTGTTACAATTTTGCCAATTTTTTGTGATTCTGTGATTTAATCTGTATAAAATTTTCGATTTCGATAGAAATAATTTATATACACATTTTTGCTTTTCTAAACTTCTGATTTTGAGAGAAAAAAAAAGTTCGCGGATTTTTTTTTTGGCAAAAAAATAAAAAAATATTGAAAAAAATTCCATACAGGAGACTTGTACCAGGCGCCGTAAATCACACTTTTTTTTACTCACCCTGTATATACGCTATATTATAGTACAAAGTATATATTTAAAGATGTCTCAAGTATTTTACGAGTTTCCAAAAAATTTAATTTTCAAAGAATTTAAATCGAAAATATAAATGAATACTTTATCACCCACTCTACATAATTAAACTTTGTCACTGTCCAAAACCCCTGTTTGGTATTCTGATTAAAGTGTCCTTGATAAAAACATTTTCCAGAAGACGTTACAAGAGAAAGAGTACGAAAAATATAGTGCTAGGCAGTGGGCACGTTCGAATTTTTTAATCCTTTTAATACTTTAAGTTCACATTGATCAAGATTATTATGAAAAATAGCATCAAAGACCGGACCGACTTTAAAGTATATAAACTCATCGACCTCTCATTTTACTTCAATAAATCCCTAATACTTATTTTGTTTTTTTTGTAGTCCTAGACAAAAGACAAAGCAGTTGTTTTTTAACTTTAAAAAGTAATTTGAAAATTTCTCAATTAGTTTTGCATGAGAGCAATTGCACCTAGCTTTGTTTGGATCACTGTGAGTTAAATTAGCAACTGATAGCACAGCCCCCTTAATATGTTGTTAACTTACTAACCGAACGTTAAATCACATAGAATTAATGGTTCTGTCAATATTCCAGAAAGCTGTGACTTTAAATCACAATTTGAACTATTAAACATAATTTTTTCTTATATACTTTTTTGTTGCCGGTATATACGTTTTGAATGAGAAGTATAAAACAAACAAATCCTTAAGTTTAAGGATTGTTTAATTGTAAACCAAAACGTATGACTTCAAATATAAGAAACTGAACGCCTCTCTCTCTTTCTGTTTAGTCCGAGCTGATATCCCTTCAAAAATAAAATTTTCTGTTAATTTTCTAAAATTTCGATCGTTAACGGAATTTGCCCAGCCCTATGCAAATTAGGTAAATCATTTAACCAAATTGACAATGAAGAAAAATAACTTTTTATTGTTTTTAAATTTTTCTTTTAATTTTTAATTAATGGTTTTAGTATGCAAAAACATGTTTGTTAATGAAATTTTCCCTGAAAGAATTGATCATGCCACAAACTTCAAGCGGAAAAGATTGTTTTGTTCTAATACCTGTGTTTTATACACAGGGTGTGTGCCATGCGAACCATATTCGGAAAATGCAGGCATCCTTCAGCTGGGATTGGGGTCCTTCAGCTCCTTCAGTTGGGATTTGGAAACCTTTGCATCTCGTGGCGTTCGATAATATCAGGTTAGACATTCGATAATATCAAGTTACACATTCGATAATATCAGGTTAGACATTCGATACGATTAGGATTAGACAATCGATAATATCAGGTTAGACATTCGATAATATTAGGTTAGACATTAGATAAGATTAGGATTAGACATTAGATAATATTATGTTTAGACATTCGTTAAGATTAGGATTAGACATTTAATAAGGTTAGGTTTAGACATTCGATAAGATTAGGTTTAGACATTTAATAAGGTTAGGTTTAGACATTCGATAAGATTAGGTTTAGACATTCGATAAGATTAGATTTAGGCGTTCGTTAAGATTAGGTTTTGACATTCGATAAGATTAGGTTTAGACATTCGATAAGATTAGGATTAGACATTCTATAAAATTAGGTTTAGACATTCGATAAGATTAGGTTTAAACATTCGATAAGATTAGGTTTAGACATTCGATAAGATTAGGTTTAGACATTCGATAAGATTAGGATTAGACATTCGATAAGATTAGGTTTAGACATTCGATAAGATTAGGTTTAGGCGTTCGATAAGATTAGGTTTAGACATTCGATAAGATTAGGTTTAGACATTCAATAAGATTAGGTTTAGACTCTCGATAAGATTAGGTTTAGACATTTGATAAGATTAGGTTTAGGCATTCGATAATATCAGGTTTAAATATTCAATACTTTTCATATTAGACATTCGATAATATCAGATTGAACATTCGATAAGATTATGTTTAGATATTTGATAATATCAAGTAAGACATTCGATGATATTAGGTTTAGATATTCGATAATATTATGTTTAGATATTCGAAAATATGAGGTTTAGATATTTAATAATATCAGGTTTAGACATTCGATAAGATTAAGTTCAGACATTCGATAACATTAGGTTTAGACATTCGATGATATCAGGTTTAAATATTTGCAAATATCTGGTTAAAAAGTTGGATAATATTAAGTTGAAATATTTGATAATATTAGGTTTAAATATTCCTCAATAATTGTTTCAATACTTACTTTAAAGTTGGTTTAATGATTTGAAAATGATAAGTGACAACCTTCAAAATGTCCAATTTCCCAAGTGGCAACTTCCCCCCCCCCCCTTGAAGCCTGTGACGCCTCAAAAGGTCAAACCTAAACTTTGGGAAGTTGCTGCTTCGGAAATTGTCCATTTGGGAAGATGTCACTTTAGAAGTTGCCCTTGTGATAATGGCTTTTTGGAAAATATCTATACACCTGTTGAAGAAAATTTAAAGTGCAAATATTAAGAATGTTAATACGAAATATTTTATACCGCTAAGACTACTTCGACAGAAGAAAAATAATAGTCATTTAAATTGAGTACTGTTTTTATTTTTAATGTTTTTATTTCTAGTTCTAGAACTTCTGTCTGATCTTTTATCATTAATTTTAATCTTAAACATGTTCCTCCTGTGTGACGAGTCCCGTTAGGCCTGGTTTGATTAAGAAGAATTCTTCCAAAAAATATAATTAATTTTCAAGCTTTCCTTTATGAGACAGCCTTCTTCAGATTAAATTTTGTTTTATAAAACTTCTTTAAATACAAATATTAAATTTTACATCGTCAATTTTGTTCATCTATATAAACTAAGCGTCTAGAATGTTAGACGGAGTAACATAAAACATGTTGAAAGCAACTGATAAGTGATTACAACCCTGTAGATTTATAATTTTCTTATCCATATATCTTAGCAAACCCTGTAGATTTATAATTTTCTCATCCATAAATCTTAGCAAACCCTGTAGATTTATAATTTTCTTATCCATATATCTTAGCAAACCCTGTAGATTTATAATTTTCTTATCCATATATCTTAGCAAACCCTGTAGATTTATAATTTTCTTATCCATATATCTTAGCAAACCCTGTATATTTATAATTTTCTTATCCATATATCTTAGCAAACCCTGTAGATTTATAATTTTCTTATCCACATATCTTAGCAAACCCTGTATATTTATAATTTTCTTATCCATATATCTTTGCAAACCCTATAAATTTATAATTTTCTTATCCATATATCTTAGCAAACCCTGAAGATTTATAATTTTCTTATCCATATATCTTAGCAAACCCTGTAGATTTATAATTTTCTTATCCATATATCTTTGCAACCTGATGGTGTATTTCCAATTTTGACAATTTGATCTATCAGAATTTATAGTTAACTTCTAAAAAAATTAATATGGGCTTATTTTTTGCATATTTGTGTTAAGAGCGCCATGCACGAGACAATTGGAGAAGGCATGATTCTTACATCCTTATTTTTCAATACAGCCCCCAATAAAACAATTTCCTCTATCCTTGAGTTTTTAATTTATACATACAAATAAAAAATATATTTTTATTTTTATAAAATCTATCTGGTTGTATCCCATAAACGTCAAAACGGCTGAACCGATCAAGCCCAAATTTTGTGTGGGACCTCACGTGGCCCCAGGGAAGGTTTATGGCCAATCAGACTTTGAATATGTAATCTTAAAATATTTTCATCTTAAATTATTTAATTTTGTAAAAAATTTTAAAATGCGCCAAAAAATATTATGAAATCCGCAAATTTTTAAAAGCAAAATTTGTATGCTGTACAAAGAGAAGATGCTCACAGAGAAAGGCACAATTAAAAGTTAAAAAAGAATATGGGCGCGAAGCGCCCTGAAACCCTATTAAATATATATATATATCAGTGAAAGAGCATTAATCTTCTTTATTTTATTCATACTGATGTATATAAATCTACTTCACTTTATGCAATTATTTGTAAGAAATGCTGCAATTCATGAAAATCTTTACTTTATAAGAAATTTAAAATATATATATATATATATATATATACACTCACAAGATATATATATATATAAGAATATATAAATACATATACACATATATATGTATATATATATGTTGATATTTTAACTTGAAAAGACTTTTGATGGCTCCAGGGTTGGATGAAAAACTACAATTCCTACTTTCTCCTTCCCTGAGAAGTCAAAGGATATTGAAAACGTAAATCCCCTCTTTGAAGAGGAAGTTTTTTTATTTTATTATAATAAGTATAACACTGTAGATTTTACACAAATTATTATTAATATTTTACAATGCATGCAGTACACATTTCTTCTTGTTTTTACTACTTATGTCACGATATTATTGAGAGAAGGCCTGAAATGAGAGAGATTGAAAGTAGACACATTTTTTGAAATTATTTCAGTTACCAATTGCAAAATCCTTAGAGATATAATTTTAGTACGACAAAGAAAACCACTGTTTGCTAGTTCTCACCGTAATCTATATAATAAAAATAAAAATTTGTATTAATAAATATGAACAACTAAAAGCTGCTTTGATTATTGCTTTATTGTTATATATAGATATATGTAAGCTATATGCATAGAGAATAGAATATACATTAAAGTGGAATTTAGACAATCCTTCGGTATGCATTTTTTTTAGTCCCTTTCAGTCTGAAAGGGAGTTCAAAGTGGTTCATGCAAATGTTCACAAAATATATGTAGTAGAGTACATTAATACAGTATGTTCCCTTGACTATCCATTTCAATTTCGAATTTTTTAAAGCTGTCGAATAAACTTTATAAAATGAATTAGGTGAATGAAAAACATCATTTGATTTATAGTTAAAACGGAAAATCATCGTTTGTAAAGTGAAAGGCATAGAGCCAATGTGAAATGATCATTGGTCAATGATGAAACCAGCCTATTTCATAATTTGGTTTTCTTTCAATATTAATTTTAGATTTTTTATAAAATGATGTTTCAGGGCCCAAAAGGTTATTTAGCACAAATATGTGAAGTACACCTGCAGTATGGAAACAGTACAACAAAATGGCTGTTTTACACTTTTTCTAGTATATATTCTTTTCTCTTTGTCTAAAGGTGATCAGATTTTATTCAGTAATATTTTGCTGCCACTGCAAACCATAGAAAAAAAAGAAGGTCAAATTTATATAAATTACATGGTATTCCTTTGTGACCTCGTAGCTACTCCAGTTTTGATTTGAAGCACAAGCTCTTCAATAAAGGAAGTTGTGATTAAAACATATTAATCTTAAGTGCAATTTACGTTATTTTGACGAGTGTGGACCTAACATTTTAAGACATTAGATACACTCGCAAGATATATGGAAATGTAAAAATAGTTTCGTTAGATATTATCGAAACCGATGTCTAGGTTTAAATATGTTATGTGGGATGTAGAATAGGTTAACGAGCTACTACTATCCTATGTCTAGGTTTAAATATGTTATGTGGGATGTAGAATAGGTTAACGAGCTACTACTATCCTATGTCTAGGTTTAAATATGTTATGTGGGAAGTAGAATAGGTTAACGAGCTACTACTATCCTATGTCTAGGTTTAAATATGTAATGTGGGATGTAGAAGAGGTGAACTATAAGCTACTACTATCCTATGTCTAGGTTTAAATATGATATGTGGGATGTAGAAGAGGTGAAATATAAGCTACTACTATCCTGTGTCTAGGTTTAAATATGATATGTGGGATGTAGAAGAGGTGAACTATAACCTACTACTATCCTATGTCTAGGTTTAAATATGATATGTGGGATGTAGAAGAGGTGAACTATAAGCTACTACTATCCTATGTCTAGGTTTAAATATGATATGTGGGATGTAGAAGAGGTGAACTATAAGCTACTACTATCCTATGTCTAGGTTTAAATATGTTATGTGGGATGTAGAAGAGGTGAACGAGCTACTGCTATCGGTCAACCTACGGGTCATATTCCAACCAGGAACCATGGAGAAGGTCAAAGCAGAGGTAAAACCGATTTTTAAAGTCATTTCACCCCAGCTTTGGTCGGACAAAAGGCTAGAAAATCATTATGTCAAATTGCAAAGATTTGATTTTAATAAAACAATAAAAGTTTTTGTATAAAAAATTCCTTAAAAAATTGTGCGTAACAATTATCAGATTTACATTAAGAGTGCAACCATGGGGCACTCAAATCCACCTTGCACCAGTTTAAAAGCTTTCTTCGTCCCTCGTCCTAGATATTATCTAAATATTGTATATTTCGGTCCCTCGTCCTAGATATTATCTAAATATTGTTTATTTTGGTCCCTCGTCCTAGATATTATCTAAATATTGTTTATTTTGGTCCCTCGTCCTAGATATTATCTAAATATTGTATCTTTCGGTCCCTCGTCCTAGATATTATCTAAATATTGTTTATTTTGGTCCCTCGTCCTAGATATTATCTAAATATTGTATCTTTCGGTCCCTCGTCCTAGATATAATCTAAATATTGTATCTTTCGGTCCCTCGTCCTAGATATAATCTAAATATTGTATATTTCGGCCCCTCGTCCTAGATATTATCTAAATATTGTATATTTCGGTCCCTCGTCCTAAATATAATCTAAATATTGTATATTATATAGATTGGTTATGAGATACGTGATGTATTTGAGCGTGAAGTTGTTCTCGTTGAACTGGTTAAAACTCAGGACAATGAGATGGAGTGGAGCACATCTATTCAAATACCAAAGGTTTCTTATACATTTAAGTAAACAAAAATACCACATATATTGGGCAATGAATAACATCCTTTTTTTCCGCAGCTTTTGTGACAATATCACTATTTATCAATGAACAAGAAAAATTCCTCCCAAGGACAATGATTTTTAATGCAAATTGTTCTTGTTTGTAACTAATCTTAAATGAAGCCACAACAAGGAAAACTTGAGTTCAATTTCTATGTGAAAACTTCGATATAGAACCAAAAGTTTATTTTTTTTCTGTTTACAATATTTACGAAATAATCCACACTTTTCATTTAATAATGGACTAAATTAAAACCTTGTGATCCACATAAGGTAAAAAAAAAATCATGAAAGTTGGTGATTTAGACATTTCGTTTACAGATTTAAAGACAATAAACATGGGTCCACCATTTCTCAACGGAATTAAGTCTTTAACATAAACTCAGATGGTCTTACTCTTATCCCTTTATTTTTGCACGTTAATGTTGAGATCTTAGATATTTCAAACTATAAATTCTGTTAGATATAATAATCTGAGTTTGTAACAATTTCTTTATAACATGTTAACGGATTGGTTTTCTTTTTAAAATAACAAAGAAAATTAATTTGCAAAAAAGAAAAAAACCTTTCCAGTGACTTTTCAGAAAACTACTTTGATTTTGCCTTGGTAATGTTCATTATATAAAATCTTCTGTGTGAAAGCTTGGTCGAAATCTAATTTGAAATACATGGTATTGATATACACGACGACCAGTATACTCTGTAGGCTGATGTGTCCCTGTGGTGGCCGAATGGTCGCGGAGAACAGATTCTTTATGATGTTCTTCTGGATATAGGAGTTGAAGCAGACACTGGAGATATTCAGTTGATGGATAAGGTTCATTAATGAATAAGTTATTTTTCTTTATTTAAAGGCACTCTATATATTATTATATTATATTAAAGGGACTGTACACGTATTTTTAAGTGAATTTAAGTTTAGAAGCATATCCGATTTACAGTTGTACTATTGTACTGTACTTTACAGTTGCACAGTTGTACAGTTGTACAGTTAAACTATTAAAACCTTTGTCTGATTAAGAATTCTGAGGTATCCATGTTTTTCTCTTTAACAATTAATTACTTTCACCTGTAGGTTCTTACTAAAAATTACTGCAGAAACAACAAAGGAAACTTTCAGCATGGATCACCTTTAAAGCTAAAAATCGACGATATTTTAAAAGGGTTAAAGGTTTAGAAGATCATATACTTTTTTGAATCGGATTCACTCCTCTTCCCAGGGAGTAAGGTATAGATGGGAGATATAACATACGTGGTTCGCTCTACCATATGATTATACATGCATTGCAGACGGTACCCGTCTGCAAAACATGTATATTGTATAATCATATGGTAGAGCAAACCGCGTCAGTTATTTCTCCGTTCTATTCCTTATAACTCCCTGGTCTACCAACAACTATTGTCATTCATACCCCCCCCCCCTCCTACCCCTTTCTTTCCTGTTTCATCTTTTTTTTTGATCTTTTTCCTTCTCATCCTACTTTTCAACATGTGTTTGATAAGGTCATCTATTATCTATTTACCTCTTTACTACCTTCATCATTTTCTAACTTCATGTTTGTGCATTAATTTTAAATCTTTTGCAAAATTTGAATATCCTTTTATCCTCTATTCCCCATCCCCCCCATCTAGCCCATTCACCCCCCCCCTTCCATTCTTTATCAGAGTTCCATACATATCTAACTCATTGCAATTTCTCTATATACAAAGTTTATCTAACTTTATCCTTTAAGTTCCAACATTCTGCAGAAAATCACTTTTTCCCCTGTAGGCTGTAATTTATAGAGTTGCTGTAAACCCTGGAATCTACAGGATTTCGATATTCTTAATATTTACAGATTTTTCAATTCTTTTTCACAGATTCTTAAAATACATATATATATAATTCAATGTACAGGGTTAAGAAAAAAGCAGGAGGCTTCAATGACACCTCTTTAAAATGATACCCGGAAGGTCTGATGCTTTGAAAAAAGAGTAAACAGGCGCGAAATAATCTACCTGGGTACGTAGGAAAGGACTAATAAATCACTGTAAACCCTGGTTCACTTCTGGACTGACTTTAAGTCGCTAGAGCAAGCTGTACAGTACACAATTAGCACATACAGACTATAGGCAAAACGGGACGGTACACCTAATGAGTCAACAGGCCTTCTATTCTGTTCCAATGAAATGGCTCCAGGGAACCATGAATGCGTGAAAGAAGAACCTTTACAGTCGTCTCTTAAGTCTCATTCTTTGTGGTTCCCCCTGTATATCTAGTGTGGAGAGAACAGAGAATATTTGGTTTGCATTCAACTCCTTCCAGAGAAGTTGCAGCAATGAACCACCGACTAGAATTTAAATCGAGGAATAAAGGAAGATGCAACATTAATATTTCAAGAGTATAGGAATATGTGACGTAGATACTGGCGAAGAGGGAGAGATGCAACAATGATATTGTGGAGCTCAAAATGTGGAAGAATCTAAGAGGCAGCAATGATATAAGAGGGTTTACATGAGAGAGAATAAGAAGATGCAACATTAATATTTTAGTGTTTGTTACGAAGAATGGTATGCAATGCACTAATTACACCTTAAGTGAAGATGTAGTCTTTTCTATACGAAATAAAAGAAACAAATAAATTTAACATTCAAGTTATATAGATATATATAGATATAAATATAGTTTTATACAGGAAATATATATAGATATATGTAGATATTAATATAGTTTTATACAGTAAATATATTTAGATATGTAGATATAAATATAGTTTTATACAGGAAATAAAAGTTAATAAGGAAGATGTAACAAAATCAATTTCAGAAAAGACTAACTAAATTATGCTAAGGCTTCATGAGGAAGAATCAAAGAAGATTGGAATAAAAGTTTTGAAATGTTTCACTTATGACTTTAATGGGTTAAAAAAAGAGATAATGTAAAGTGTTTCAATGTTCAGGTTTTCTATGAGAAAGGACTTGGTTTCCGTACTGTAGAGTTGGTTCAGGATCCAATGGAAATAGAAGGTCGGATGTTTTATTCTTTCTTATGAACCATTAATAATACTACCTCGTAAAACATACAGAAAGTCTCTATAAGCAAAAACATATTGTGATCACTTTTAAAAAATCTTCGCATTATTTATCGAAAATCTAAGATATTAGGTACTTCCCAATGGCTTTTTCCCAAGCGGCAACTTCCCAAGTGGTAACTTCCCAAATGTGCCATTTCCCATACGGTAACTTTAGGCGTTGTGACATTTCATAGAAAGACATTTTATAGAAAGACATTTCATAGATGGGACATTTCATAGATAGGACATTTCATTGATAGGACATTTCATAGAAGTTGGCGCTTGGGAAATTGAACATTTAGGAAGTTGTCACTTGTGAAATTGTCACTTGGAATTGGGAAATTGTTCTTTGGAAAGTTGCCCTTGTGAACATTTTCGGTTACTGATTGAATATTCGGTTTTTACAATTGACATTGTGATTGGATTTTAGATACTTCCACGGCCTGTACAATTAGTAAAGGATTAAAGGATTAGCGTGAATCATCACCCTATACACTATAACCTCGTTAAGTTACATAAATTATCATATTTAAAGTGACACCTCGGCTGCTGTCAGGTCAATAACGCACAGGAACATAATTTTTTGTCGATTAACCTAAAGGAAAGTACAAGAAGGGGGATCTATGGGGGCTCAGTCCTCCTTGGATCATCAGTGAAATCCGTAATTTAAATGGGGGTTTCAGTCCCAATATTCCTATATTCGTCACTGGGTCTTACTTAAGTTTAAGAATGTTGAATAAATTCTTCGTTATTCAAGATTTATTGAAAATATTGGAAATTGTTTAATTTTGTCGGAAATTTGATATTGCACAGATATAAAAGAATAATTTTAACTATAGTCCTGGGCTTACACAATTCATTTTGCATTTTCTCCAGATCTTTTCTAACTCTAGATAAAGAAAGTGTAAACTTTTCTTTAATCTTTATTAAAAGTTTTCGTCAAACTCAGAGCAGCTTTATTCTTAGAATTTTAATAATATTCTGTATAAGTTTTATAGAAGCAGAGCTGGGAACTTTAGAATGTGATACCCTTAATCCTGAGCTGAAAACTTTAGAATGGTGGATATCGAGATCAATGCTTGATCCTCTCTTTTTGCTAATATCAAGACTAATTTATTTTCTAGAGATTATAGATGCGCTCTTTAACTTTTAAAAAACTGGTTTTTAATTTGTCTGTATTTTAAGTTTCCAGCTCAAATATGTTAATAATATTTCTTCTTTTCTTCACATCAAAGATTATTTCAGAATAAAGTTTGTTGAATTTATAATATATTCAATAATTTTTTACTCTCTTTATATAAAATTAATTATAAAAATTAAAAATAGCTGAAAATCAACTGGTTTTTTCTCTTGCTTAATCCCAGTAGCCTGAAGCATAAGATAAAAATTCTTCAGAATAAAAAAATGGGTTTACGGATTCTTAAAGTTTCCTGGCTTAAAACAACACTTTAGGTTTTACTATCTCTATATATAAATATATACATAAGATAGTATTCAGGAAAAGCTGGGTGCCCAAGATAGTATTGTTTATTTTTAAACGTTAAGATACATGTTTATAGTTATGTTTTTTTAGGGAACAGTTTTTACTTCAAAATCAACGGAGAACCGGTTTTCATGAAGGAAATCAAGAAAATAATCTACCCCTTAAAATTTATTCTTTATTTACTACTAGCTGAACTGCCCGGCGTTGCCCCTGGAGTTAAAACAAAAATTTGTTAAAGCTTATGTTACCCCCTGGGTAACATATATATAAGAGCGAAGAGCTTTATTTTATAAATTAATTACTCCTTTTAAGCTAAAGATAGAAACAATTTCTTTGTGAATAAAAAATGTTAGAAAAATTGATACATAATTTTCACAGCTCTTTGCATAGTCTGAATCTCTCCCCATCCTTTCTCTTAAATTAAGTTTAATATTTCTTTAATTAATTTTACCCTGAAATACTTTCATGTTTGACTGCACAGCAGCTTTGAAATAAATTAATTATTTCTCATCTCTCAGCCCCTAATGAAACATTCTTTACATTTATTTTGTTATTTTTTATTATTAGTTTCTCAAACAAAAGACAAATTGATAAATTACATTTTTGTTTCAAGATATTAATATCTCCCCCCTTAGGTTTTTTCCCTCTTGCTGCTTTGTTCTTAATTTCAAACTGGATCCCTGGTCATGTTCTACCTGAGAAGGTTTCCAAGGAATATATATACGATCTACTCTATTCAGCCAAGGTATGTTCATGTTCAAATAGTTTAGAAACCTCAGGAACGGCTCTAGGAAATGCAGGCTGGCCCCCACTCCCCCATCCTCACCATCTTCTCTTTTAAAAAACATCACTCTCTATCTTACTATCTATCTATCCACCCCTAACATAACCTAGATATAGTGTGTGTACTTCGTGTACTTAAACTATATTTTTCTATTTATGGTAGGGAACATCCAGGGACCGAGTTTTACTAAATGGAGAGGTCGCTAAACTATCCACCGCCGGTTCAAATCCTGAATTACCGATTCAAATCCTGATGAATATTTAACTTTGAATCAGTGATTCAGGATTTGAATTCCGGCAAAAGGTAGTTCAGCCACCTCTTTCAAAATTATTGAATATCATCTCAGATTTAAGATTTTTCAGATCATTAATTTATACTTGTTTTCATCCTTATTTAGGAGGCAAATATGAATATGCTTCGGGTTTGGGGTGGAGGAATTTACGAGTTGGAGGAGTTTTATCAAACAGCTGATCAACTTGGTATTCTCATTTGGCAGGTACATTTTAGCAAACAGCTGATAAACTTTGTATTCTCATTTGGCAGGTACATTTTACCAAACAGCTGATAAACTTGGTATTCTCATTTGGAAGATACATTTTACCAAACAGCTGATAAACTTGGTATTCTCATTTGGCAGGTACATTTTACCAAACAGCTGATCAACTTGGTATTCTCATTTGGCAGGTACATTTTAGCAAACAGCTGATCAACTTGGTATTCTCATTTGGCAGGTACATTTTAGCAAACAGCTGATAAACTTTGTATTCTCATTTGGAAGGTACATTTTACCAAACAGCTGATATCAACTTGGTATTCTCATTTGGCAGGTACATTTTAGCAAACAGCTGATCAACTTGGTATTCTCATTTGGCAGGTACATTTTAGCAAACAGCTGATAAACTTGGTATTCTCATTTGGAAGGTACATTTTACCAAACAGCTGATAAACTTGGTATTCTCATTTGGCAGGTACATTTTAGCAAACAGCTGATAAACTTTGTATTCTCATTTGGAAGGTTCATTTTACCAAACAGCTGATAAACTTTGTATTCTCATTTGGAAGGTACATTTTACCAAACAGCTGATAAACTTGGTATTCTCTTTTGGCAGGTACATTTTACCAAACAGCTGATAAACTTGGTATTCTCATTTGGAAGGTACATTTTAGCAAACAGCTGATAAACTTTGTATTCTCATTTGGAAGGTACATTTTACCAAACAGCTGATAAACTTGGTATTCTCATTTGGCAGGAACATTATTTTGACTAATAGTCATCGATTATTTATCGACGCATTCAATTATATAGTTAATATTTCATACTATTTTTTGATTTTGTTTTTTAAAATAAATTTTCGATGGCGCTGGATTTTCGAACATTCCTGGAAAATATGAAAATGTCGTCTTCATTATCAAAAATCCTCGAAACAGGAATAAATGTTTTCAAAAGTAACTATCAGATCATGAAAAATACAAAATATTATGAAATATCAACTATAAACTAATGCGTCGAAAAACAATCGATGACTATTGACTATCTGAATGATTTGTTTGAAATTAAATTGATTTTTACGATCCGAGTTGAATATGCAACTTTCTGAATTTGTATCGACGCTAAGTTCTTCAGTAATAGTCGTTTTGAACAATTTTAGTTATTAATAAGTAGCGATCAAAAGCCCTTATTTTTCTCCCCCTTTAATTTTTCCCGAGCACTCCCTTTAAAGACGAATATAGAATCGTCATTTAACTTCACCCAAATCTGTGACAGATGATGATTCTGAAAGCTTTTTATTAAAACAAATAATTACAGAACAATGGATTAGCAATATTTTTGAAATTATCTATCTTAATAAAAATAATATTCCATAAAACGAAAATATAACAAAAACACATTAACTTAAAAAGTATATTAATTGTTTAAAATAAAATAATTTTTTTCAACATTTTTTATTATTCAGAAATATTAAGGGGTAAGGGAAAAAAGAAAGAAGGCTATTTTTTAACGGAACGTGAATATAAAGATTTTGAAAATTATTGGATTAAGTCTAATTAAATAAAATAAAAAATGTAAATTATTATTCCAGGATATGATGTTTGCCTGCAGTATGTATCCAGCCGATCAAGCCTCTTTATTCAACATCAGGTCATCATTTAAAATAAAAATTAATTCAAAATATATAAAAAAAATATAAAACTAAGGTTTTGGAGTCACAAAATCATTGATTAAAGTTTAAATTATGATTGACCTAGTTCATATGATATTTAAAGATAATTTAGAAAAATTAATTAAACATCTACTAACTGGATGAATAAATATCAACATGTATCATCATTAATTCAATAATTTTTCTCTAAGTTATCAATGGTCAAGTCAAACTTAGGATGTAAATCTGTTTCAAGCTTTATCAAATAAAGGAATTGATCTTGGCCACAAACTCTAATTTTCTAATTCCTATTTTTTTGCAACCCAATGTCCTAGTCTGCAGTTAGCTCAAAAAACACAAGTTTGAAATATCAAAGGTTTACACATTCAGGTTGCATAGATATAGGGATTATAAAATTTGAGTTAGTAACAGAGACTCAATTCCTTTCCTTTAAAAAAATCAATTAAAAATACAAAAAATAAAAATATTTTGAAGAGATTTATCAGTTAATCATAATAGCTAAGAATCATCGAATCTCCAGACATCCCTTTATATATCTCTCTATATATATATATATATATATATATATAATCTAGATCTGAGATTAAACATCAAGTTCGACGTATCTCCAGACATCCCTCTATAGATCTCTCTCTATATATATAATCTAGATCTGAGATTAAACATCAAGTTCGACGTATCTCAAGACATCCCTCTATAGCTCTTTGGGCAGGAAACAATGAAAATGAGGCCGCTTTAAGGTAAATTAATCTAAAATTTTAGTTTCATAAAAGTTTTGGAAAAAATATAATTAAAGATTTATATTTTACAAAACATGAAAGAAATAAACTTTTTTATCTCAAAGTTATTAATCAAAGTGAATAAACAAGTCTACAAGAAATAATAAAAATAAAAAAATATATATATAGCATAAATGCAAGGAAGGGATTTTTAATCCATTAAAATAAGGGTACAGCGAAAACCAATGAACATGATAGTTTGACATTCGAGAGACCAATTCCCAGCCTCACGTTTACATTTGAATATCTCAAAAAAGTGATGATACATACCTATTTGAAACATACACATTCAAAGGAATTGAGTCTTAGCCACGAACTCAAACTTTGCAACCTGATGGAATAAGTAAGTAAGTAATAATTTATTTATGAAATATAACCAAAATATACAAAATTAAGTGTTCCAGGAGAAATATTTTAAAACCTCCAAAAATAGATGTTGTGGGAATATTTCCCCCCAATTCTTAAAAAAAATAATAAAAAAAAGGAAACAAAGGAAAAAGAAAGGAAAAAAAAGTTACATATTTATTTTGTAAGCCTTTGATATTACAAACTTAATTTTTTTGATCCAACATAATTCTATAGTTTGACATGCTAATGTCTAAAACATTGGATTGTAAAGATTAGAGTTTGTAACAAATACTCGATTCCTTTCATGGCTCTATTATGCTGATGATATCTCTTTGAAACAAGCTGAATTTTATGAAAATTTTCTGAAAATGTTTTAAATGAGGAAAACTAAAACGCGAATGAAATGTTTCATTATTTCTAATTAATGTGTTAATTCTGTTTCATCTCCCGTGATAAACTAGTAGAATTTACAACTTTTCATTTTCTTTTTATACTTCAAAATACATTCAGAAACTCTGAATTACGAATTTGAATTTGAATTTGATTTTAAGTATTTTTCCATATAAAGAATTTTCACAAAAGTACAATTTTTTATTTGGCACATCGAAATTTTGAAAAAAATTTATTGGAAAAACGTTTATAGTATTTTTAATATGTTATATGTTGCAATATTCTTACTTTTCTTAACCCTATCCCTGCTGGGGTACTACTTGAAAACCAGGATACGCTGCCCCTCTAAATCCCATGTTTTATGTCCAAATATGACAAATGATACATCATTAGAAAGCTCTTGTGCTCTATCCAATACTTTTTGAGTTATGTAAAAAAACTACGGGGGGGGTCAAATTGACCCCCCTCCCAGCAGGAATAGGGTTAAAAGCTTTCCTAAAAGGTTTAGAATTTCGAAGTCCAAAGACGGTAAATGGGTCTTAATACATCTTTAATTTAGCACAGGAAAAGTCATACATTCAGCCAGTATGCCATGTCATGTCAGGTTTAGCCAACGGAGGGTATAGGAAAAGTCTGCAAAATGTTAACAGCTTCATACCAATTCTATTTACAATTTTTTCTATAAGGTATGTATTTAATACAAGCAGTTTAACGATCCTGAATCTGAAATTAGATTTTGACATTTTAAACTATTTTTATCTCTTTAAATATATTTAATGTTTTCGTAAAATTGCCTGAGTCTAAAGCCTCGGAATGTCAAAGTAAATAGTGTGTGTTTTGTTTTAATTTAATCTGTTAGTTTTGGTATGGTCTGCAGGGTTCAAATCAAATGGTCACTTATTTCAGGTTTAACTCTCAATCCTTCACATAGTACTTTATATCCTTCTGATATAGCAGATAGAATTTTCTATAATCTGTGATAATCAGAGCCGGCTTATGGGGGGGGGGGGGGGGGGGGGGGGAGGACGTTCTCCCCTCATATGCCTTATGAGAACCTTTTATCCTATCTATTCTCTCAAAGTACCTTCTATCTTATGTATTCCTCTTATAATAGAAGTTTCTATTCTTTGTATTCATTTAAGAGAACCTTATATCTTATGCATTTCTCTCATAGTGTATTAAATACAGAGGCCTATAGGAAATCTAATTAAATTACATGTACAATGTACATTGGCCAATGCCCATATAGCTAAATGCGCTTATTAGTTGATACGTAAATCATGTATTGCGATTAACCCAATCTAGATATGTAGATATATATTTAACTCCGAGGACATGCGCATATTTTGATTGTTTAACTACGTTATATAACAGCACATGACTTGTAACTACACTGTTAAAACCTAGCTTTAATCTAACATCTTGAAAATATACTCAGTTGATATAGAGACTCCGCTTTGATTACAGTGTTGAGAGTAATTTGGTCCTGTTTGAAATATACGAGCTGAGATCATACCCATTAGTTTGACATTGATAGATTACAAGTTTGTGTCTGTGTTGACATTGATAGCTGACGAGATCGTGCCCATTGGTTTGGTATTGATAGATTACAAGCTTGTGTCTGTGTTGACATTGATAGCTGACGAGATCGTGCGCGCCCCTGTTTGACGTTGATAGTTTATGAGCTTGTGTCCATGCTTACATTGATAGCTGAAGAGATCATGTCCATTGGTTTGGCATTGATAGATTACAAGCTTGTGTCCATGTTGACATTGATAGCTGACGAGATCGTGCCCATTGGTTTGGTATTGATAGATTACAAGCTGTGTCTGTACTCTGTGTTGACATTGATAGCTGACGAGATCGTGTCCGGATTTATAAAGGGTAGCCTTTGGACCTTTGGAAAGAACCTTTTAGCCTTTTTTAACCCTAAATGTCGTTTCTTTGTCTCCATGCATTTTTTACTTTTGTTTTCCCTGCCTTTGAATACCTTTATACAAGTACAAGTACAAGGCAATTAATTATTGTAAAAAATACCCATGTCCGGAGAAGCACCACCTCTACTTATAGGTTTTCATATTTACAATTTTAAAGGGGGTCCCGGTCCCGGTGTTTGTTGATCCGAAGAAAGTTTTTAAACAAAGATATTGTACCTGGAGTAGAAAAAAAATCAGCATAAAATGTGGGTTGATGGAGGGGTGGGGGGTTGGGGGGTTGGATAAGATTAAGGAACTGGAGACGGAATTGCTTTGTTGTTGAACAAATTGCTTATGCAGATTCTAAATGAACTGATGATATTGGGGGAAGGGCTCAAGGGATACTTTCCCCCCTCTCTCCCAGTGATCAACCTTGTCTGTGTTTGGGAGGATTATTAATTGAAAACACAAGCAAGGATTTCTAGTTTCTAGAATAATTAATCACTAAGATAATGGAAGTTTAAAATTAATTTTAGACTCTCATAAAATATTTCCATGTTTTCTTGAAAAGAATTATTTGAAAACAAAACTGCGCAAACTATGATATACAAGGAGAGATTGCATTTATTCAATATTACAGGAGAAGATAGAACTGATTACTTGCCACCAAAACTAGTTTTCTAATTATGATATCTTTGCAACCTTGGATGTAGTAGACCTTTGATGAATTCTGCTAAATCAAAACTTGAAATGCCAAAGAATTACATAATCAGAGGCAGAATTTAAAGAATTTGAGCCGAGGCTTAAATTTAAGCCGTGGCTCAAATATGCTTGGTTCCACTTAATATCGTATTCATTGCTACAAGATTTAAGCCTGCGCTCAATTAAAACCGGTTTTGGCGGATTTAAGACGCGCCTCAAATTTATTAAATTCGGACACAGATTGCAAAATTATATGGATTTAGAATTTGTTAGTTTTTGGCAATTACCTAGTACCTTTCAATCTATACCTGATATTTCAGACAGTTATGAAGACTAAAGCTTGTAAAACCTAACTATTACCAAGGAACTGCAATTCTCCATGCAAAGATGGTAATGCTCAATTCACAATGGGACCCCTTGTAACCTTTATTTGATACTTTTGAAGATATATATTATCGTTTTTCTAGCTTCACCAGTCTTTATTTCTGACAATTCCTATATGTTTATCTGCAGTAGAAATGCGGATGTCACTTCTGTAGAGAAATCACAATTGAAAGTAATCCAGGGGGCGGAAACGTCATGTGTGTGTGTCTGTACCAAAAGAGTGTGTGTCAGTTTGAAGTACCGAAGGTGTGTACTGTAGGTTTATACAGTACGTAAGAATCTCGGTATTTGTACAGCCTAGGAGAGTACATTTGTTTATTGTTAATTGTTTACTTAGAAATAAGTTTAATATACATGTAATATATTATTTACATATATAAGTCAACACTGTAAAGTCAAATTTTCATGCAAAGAATATAATTTAATTAAAGTTTACAATAAACTACTCGTTATTCAAGTTTAATTAAAATCGACGACATTGTTCTACAATTTCCTTGACTGTAGTCATGTTGTGTGTCTGTACCAGAAGAGTGTTTGTAAGTTTACTGTACTGGTCTGCAAAGCAGTGCGACTGGCTTTCTCTTGCCCGACCAGCGCCATTTCCTTTCCCTATATTCCTGTTCCCTGAAGTAATCTGATTTTAACTTTATAAATATTAATATCTAATGCATACCTTATCAGATTTAGCTTTTCAGGTTATTGTTGTGAATTTCATATATTGTAACTTGAAATTACGCCTGCCGTCCCTTAAAAGGGACAGACCGGCTATGTAAGGTAGTTGACCTGAGTATGTGTTGTGAAAAGCTTCTTTAGGACTCATTTGAGACATATAACTCGTTTTCAGAATCGGGTTTTTTGAATTATTAAATAACGACGAACAAAAAATGTAAACAAAACTCTACAGTAAACTAATTAGTTGTTTAGGAACAGGTTGAGAAAATAAATATAATAAAATTAATTCTCTAAAGAATTTGAATTAATTTGCGAATAAATTCAAAGAAAATAAGAAATTCAGTATAATGATGAAAACGAAATAATTGATTCTAGCATTGATTTATTGACAAATTTCTTTTGAGAAATATGTTCCCAACCATCTAATTAGATTACTATATGATTTTTTCTCTTTTTTTCTTCGTCGTTATTTAGTAATTTAAAAAAAACGATTCTGAAAACGTATCCACCCCAAAAGTAAGAGTTTTGAACGTCGAATTTGCGCACAAA